TATTACTTATCCTGTTCATATATGCATCTTTTTTTAATAAGGCAAGCTAGCAAAAAAACCACATAGAGAAGAAATGGTTCCTTATATTACAAATAGAAATCACAGACAGAGAGATATGCATGTGTGTGTGTGTGTGTGTGCATGCACATTTTTTTAATAAGGCAAGCTAGCAAAAAAACCACATAGAGAAGAAATGGTTCCTTATATTACAAATAGAAATCACAGACAGAGAGATATGCATGTGTGTGTGTGTGTGTGTGCATGCACATTTTTTTAATAAGGCAAGCTAGCAAAAAAACCACATAGAGAAGAAATGGTTCCTTATATTACAAATAGAAATCACAGACAGAGAGATATGCATGTGTGTGTGTGTGTGTGTGCATGCACATCTTTTTAATGGGGCCCGCTAGCAAAAAAACCACATAGAAAAAAGTGGTTCTTTATATAACAACTTATAGAAAATAGAAAAGCCAGTGCATTTTGATAACAATGCATTCTAACAATGGCTTAGCAACAAAAGTATATAGGTTATACTTTTATGCAAAAAATGGGTTCAGAATACACACACTATAAACCTAATAACCCGAGCAAAGCCAGGTACTTTTGCTACTTTAGAAATAAGGAGATTAAAAGTATTCTCTCACAATAACCACATATTAGATTATTAAATAAAAAACTTACAACAAAATGAACATGCATCTCCATTTTTTTTACTTCTTCAGTACCAGATACAAGAATTTTCTTGGGCCTATGATCTATTGATGTACAATTCCGAGAATTTCGCCCATGAAAACCTCTTCCTCTTGGCATGGCACCACGTCCTCTACGTCCATGAGGAATCTTGTCCAAGAGACCCATAGCTTTAGCCTTAAAATACATTAGAAAATATACACAAATATTACAAATGGTGAAAAAAATTACTTAACTTGTGATTATAAACATATGTCAAATATAATCAGCTCTGATTTACTTAAAATCAATAATATTGATTAAAAAAATAAAACTAAACAGCAATTGTGTTTGTTTTTGTTCTTAAGCACAAAACTACACAAAGGGCTATTTGTGCTTACCCACCACAGGTATCAAAACCCACTTTTTAGTGTTATAAGCCTTCAAACTCACTGTTGAGCCACGTGGTAGGGTGGGTGGAGTACTGGCAAGTGTATTCACTGCATAGTAAAATACTTGCCCATTTTCAAAGTGGTTTTTACATATCTAAAGAAACAAAACCTCTCAGGTTAGTACAAAATAAAATTATAAAACATTTGTTATGTGTTAGGTTACAAAAATATGTTATACCTTTTGTCTCAGTTCAGTGACCTTTTTCTTTAATTCTGTAATGTCATCACCTTTGTGCTGTTTGTTGTAAAGGTCCATTTCAGCATCAAGCAGTTGCTTTTCTGCCTATTGAAGTTAAAAAACAAAACAAATAGAAACTGTATGCATTTGTATAAAAATTAGGGCTCCTTAATAGTAGTTAATGTAATGAATTCATGATCTAAGATATATAATCTATCAAAAAAAACAAAGCCTATACTGTAACATAGAACGTTTAAAAACAACAACACAAAATGACCATAAGCTGAGAGAAAACTTTGGGAATAAAAAGTTGACCATATCAAAAAAAAATCCTTCAAATGAACGAACAATGTTAGCAACAAGATAAAGAAAACTGGTTACACGGAAGTGGTTGAGAACAGAGAGAAGGCTGTCTGGTCCACTTGCCTCAGGTTTAGATTTTGTGATGCTTGTTTTCTGAAGTTCTTGTATCTCTTCCGAGTCCTTTCTCATGTCATTTTGAAGGCTCTGAATCATTTTATTTAAAGATCCCAAAGTCTTCATAACATGAAATATAAAAATGAATAATGTTAAATTGAATAATTTCAATATTATTTGTGTAATAATGTTAAACTGAAAAAATTCAATTTTATGTGTGTGTAATAATGTTAAACTGAAAAAATTCAATTTTATGTGTGTGTAATAACGTTAAAATGAACAATTTCAAAGTTTTGTGTATTATTAAAGTTTTAAATTATTTAAGTTTTTAGTTTGATAAAAAAAAGGAAAACAAAGCACAAACACTAATTAATTAATTATAACAATCCGAGAATCACAGTTTTCCAACATTTTATGTCTAGAAATGCATACAACATAATATCTCAGAACCTGTAATTGTTGTCCTGCAGTATGTGTACTAAGTTATTTATAAATATATTATTACAATTTTACAGTCACAACAAGAAATACATTATTTTGAAAACTGCAACAGTGATATAATAAAGAAAAATGTTGGAATATAATGTAGTGAATACTGGATACAGGCAGAATTAAAGTCATAGATATAAAAAAGGAGAAACATATCATTCGTTGGAATGTAGTGTAGTGAATACTGGATACAGGCAGAATTAAAGTCATAGATGGAAAAAAGGAGAAACATATCATTCATTGGAATGTAATGTAGTGAATACTGGATACAGGCAGAATAAAAGTCATAGATATAAAAAAGGAGAAACATATCATTCGTTGGAATATAATGTAGTGAATACTGGATACAGGCAGAATAAAAGTCATAGATGGAAAAAAGGAGAAACATATCATTCATTGGAATGTAATGTAGTGAATACTGGATACGGGCAGATTTAAAGTCATAGATATAAAAAAGGAGAAACATATCATTCGTTGGAATGTAATGTATTGAATACTGGATACAGGCAGATTTAAAGTCATAGATATAAAAAAGGAGAAACATCCCATTCCTTCTAAAAAATGTTTAATGGCCATAATTTATGAATTCGACATAAAAGATAGGATTGAAACAATTAACATCATAACTTTTATGCAAAACATAAGAAGATTCTCCAATTAGAACAATTATGAATACATTATCAAGTGAAAATGTATATAGAATGACTGGTTTCTACAGGAAAAAATTGAGTAGTTTAATGATCATAGTATTGAACACTCTCATTTTTGTTGATATAATTATAAGTTACAAAATACAATTTTTCTCTTTTGCCATAGAACTTAATATTCATTTTACTTTAAACAACCATGCATACTGAGAAATTATCACTTAAAAATGGAAGCACAACAACAGTACACTGTCCCTGTATAGTATACAGGTACACCAACAGAAAGGAATAGGTATCTGCAATAAACAGCTCATTCAGGAAATGTTAGAGAGATAATAATTTCAAAGATGGACAGCAAAGGAAAAGAAGCAAACACAAATGAATGAATAAAAACAAAACTCATTATTCTTACATAAACACAGAAGGTATTGTTTGGACTATAACTTGTATTGATCAGCTTTGATATTAAACATTATGACTTCTTTAACTGGTAAAGTTGAAAGGCAAAACAACTGTTTGAGAAAATGACAGAAGCAAGAATCATAATGAAACCACGATTTCATAAAGACAACAGTTCTTTTGCAGTATTCCACAATCTTAGATTACCTACATCAATGATCATTCCCATTGCACATACTCAGCGAAGATACCAAGTTGTACAAGTTTCTGTCCACCTCTTGAAATAAGATAACCTCATTCTAGGCAAGGAGGCAGGGATAGAAATAATGAAATAAAATTACATTCACTCGAACAAAAGCTATCAGGAAGATTACATTCCCTCATGTATAAAGTTGCATTTCTTCATGAATTGTTTTTTTATTTAATCCATGCAATATGTTCACTTTCATTCAACCATGTATTCCGGATCGGAAAAGCCAAGTGAAAAGATGAAATTCCTCAAGCAAATTTAAATTCTTTGGGAATGCAATATTTTGATCCCTGGGAGGGTATACCATAGAAATAAAGCTAAGTAACCTCAGTCTAAGATAAAGGATTAGTAAAGTTTATATTTCCACATCCAATTTATAAGTATTCCAATTGACCACATGTAAAATATCTAAACATTTACCAGAACACATATCAAAATAGGTATATTCTTTCTAGTTATCGAAGGGTAAAACTTACAGTAATATTTGCATAGTAATGGTGGCTACTGTGCCTTATACACATAGATCAACTTTTATATTTGTAAATCATTATACATATTTTTATATATAATGATAAAATATTTACTCTCTGTATGTATTGCTTTCATCTTTTTAAACTACTGGTGTACGATATTTAAAAATATTACAGCTGACATTTGAACTGAACAAAGAATGATTGAAAATGCATGTTTGTGCAACATAAAATTCTAAAAATCTTAATGTTACAAAAATGTACTGGAATTGCTCCAATCTTATGTTTCCAATTATTCAAAAACAAGATTTTGTTGTCAAGATATTTTGATAAAAATAACTTCAGGTATTGTACAAAACTGTGTGTATATTATTTCACAATAACCAATTACATGACATGAAATTATACAAAACCCCCTTGTATTTTTAAGCTTTACTTAAAAACATTAATCTGAAGTATCACTGCCTAAAAAGTCTTTAGTTTTTATTATTATAAAAAGTGCACATCAGTCTAAGAATTCCTCTGACCTACATTCAAATTGGTTACTGGAAATGTGATTTATATGCAAATTTAAAGTGGTAATCAAAATGGTTTCTGTTTTTCTCTGGCAGTGATGATGATGATGATGATATAATTGGTGACAATATGCAAATTTATGCAACTTTGATGAAATTAAAACAACAAAATATTAATGATGACTTTAACACAACTATCGAGTATGATTGATTATTTATTTCTCCTTTCCACTTTTATCGGGTTTCTTTCTGTTATATACAATGGAACCATGTGCTACTTAATGTATTTCATAATTCGATGACGAGGAACCCACTTTGAGACTAATAATGGCTGGAGACGGCTTGAATAGGTAATGAAGAA